AATGGAGATTAAAATTACAAAATTTGTCAGTCAAAAATGTACAGGTTCTGATGAGACCAAAAAGGTGAACAATAAATGAACTGACAAAGACGATGCAGAAAAAACAATACACCATTTGGGTCATGCATCAGAACAATGATCCAAAACACCAGCAAGTCTATCTCTAAGTGGTTAAAACAACAAAACTAAGGTTTTATTGTCTTATTTGCTAAGAAAAGTGGACTAAAGTTCTGCATTCCATCAAAAAAGTTCTTTGTGAGTTACGTCAGTGTTGGCTCTATTTTCTGCCACTAAAGGTGGCCCAACCAGCTATTGGGTATAGGATGCAATTACTTTTTCACAAAACTGTAACTGAAAACTGTGAACTGCAATTTATAATGTGAATCGAGAGAACCGACGAACCCAAATACCTTACGGACGACTCCTTTGTGTTTGTTCTTCAACTCGTTAGTTGTGACAGATATCCGTCCATTTGCACACTATTCTCAGGACTCTGCCCGTAAACGCCATCTCTTTGGTTCTACATGTAATTTGGTTTTTAAAATAAAGCAACTTGGATTTATTGTTTTGTTCTTTTTGTTTGTGCACGGATAAGAATCGGTTTTATTTTCTGTAAATGACGCTGATCACAACAGATCGGAGATGTACGGCTATGAGAAAATAAACTCAAGTTTGGTTCAAACGACTTATTTCCGGTGAAAATAAATTTTGCAGTGGGCATTAAGTTTTTATTGTTTTATTTTTCACCACCGTCTTTCATAGAGAAGTAAATAGAACAGCACATTACAGTTTCATTTAGTGTCATGTCCTCTTGGGATTGTGCTATTGCTGGTAATGCCTGTGAATTATGTTTATCTATGGTGAAAGTTGTGCGTCTATTTTAAGGATTAACATATAGATCTAAATAAAGTAGAATACCATATACATTTTTTTAACCATTTCAGCTTAAAAAATTAAAACAAATGTACTATATTCAGAGAAATACACATTTTAACCCTTTATTTCTGATCATTTTGAATATTATGCCTTACAGATGATGAGAATCCATGCATGATTTTCAATAAGGATTTTTAATACAGAACTGTTGGCCTACCAAAAAAGAAAGTTCATATATGAGCTTATATTTTGAAAACACTCCAAAAGTCAGGGTTATTCAATTCGATGGCCGGCGTCCTGCAAACTTTTAATTGCAGACAAAAATAAAAACATGTCACCAGCAGGACTACCTACTGTGGAGGCAATTGAGCCATTTGATTCAGGTCTGTTAGAGCAGGTAGTCGCCTAAAAACTGCAGGACACCGGGCCTTGAGGACTGGAGTCAAATACCCTTGTCACACTGTCTATGAGGTTACTGACAGGCAGCTTTTCTGTTTGATTGCATGGTCACTAAAGCAGTGGCTGTGTGTGGAGTGTGGACAAGTGCAAAGTCAATGGGAAATGAACTCAGTATCTCCATGAAGCTTGTCAGCATCACTGAGTGTTTGAGTTTTGGTTTTCATCTGCTTTATTTTGATTATTGTTGTATTGCTCATTTAAATCAACATGGATGTTGCCTAATCAGTTTAGCCCTTTGTTTTTGGTTTCTTGCTTTATCCTTGCATGGTCTTTGCGCTTTTGTGCTCAGGTTTCTTGGCGTAGTAAACCTTCTTCCCATATACCCCCATCTGCTCCCCTCCTCTTTATTCTCCTTCCCTCTGCCTGTTTGCCTCCTCTTCTTCTTCTTTTTTGATGTTTATTGGCGCCTCCTCTAATCACCCACCTGTATTTTGTCAGTAGTCAACTCCCCAGTATAAAGTCTCTCATTCGCTGCCATTTCCTGCTGACTTCTGTTGTTCACGCTATGTTCTCCACTCGCGGTTTTGTTATTACTTTTTTTTTTCTTTTTTTTTTTAAAGGCTCGCCTTAATTACAAATGATTTCGGCTCCCGAATCCTTTGCAAAATCTGAATTGTGACATAAAATGCTGCAAAAGTTTAATCAGAACTTTTGGATTTAAAAAAAAGTGCAAAAGCAAATTACGTGCAACAATAAAACACACCACCAGAGGCCGCCATAGATGACATGACAATAAGCAAACACTGACTAACTAAATGACCCTCAGTTTATGACACCAAAAGTCAATACTGGAGGAAAGATATAGAAAATGGACGAACAATTTCGAAAAAAAATAAAAAGATTTTATTTATTTTTTTCATTCAAAACAAAAGGTCTTTTGAAAAAGATTTATTTGGGAGTGAAGTACTGTTTAAGTAAATGTTCACTAGATGGCGCTGTTTGTGTTCACCGAAACAAGTACAATTGTGTTGTACCACATTTGGACCTGACATACAGTAAGATAAACGATGTAAATCACTTTCAGGTTGTAAGACATTAACCTGAACATTTATAATTAACTTATTACAGCAAATAGTTTTGTTTGTTTTTACGATATTTACTTCAGATTCAGCACAGAAATATACCCTTAGTTATGCTACTGAAGGGCAGACATAACACATTTCCTCACTCTGCTACCTAAAATCTCATTATGTAGAGATCTGGATTCAAATCCGTCATATTTATTCATTTTACAAGTAAAATAATCATCTTTAAAGGACACAATGCAGAGGCTGCAAACAAAATGAAGAGGAGCCAATAAGTTTATGTTTGCCTGGTGGTCCTCCACCTGTCCACAGCTGACAAGAGGAAGACAATGTGAAGCAAACAAACACAAAGGTGCAGAACCTGATAATTGTCCGCGTTGCATCCCGTGCTGTGGAGATAGTGACTGGCTCCATAGAAACCGTGAACATCTCTCTCCAGCACACTGTTGCGCCAGGACAGCTTAGAACCACGCAAATCGTCTCTGCTTCTTCGCCTCTACCTCCAGCCACGACATCAGTCAGGAAGAAATTATTTGAATGTCCGTCGAAAGAACCACACAATGGCCAAACTCCCTACCGTCAACCACACACGCGTCCTGCACAGACGCATGTCGTACCTGCAGAAAAGAAGAAGAAAAAATTGATGCCAGGCTCCTGTTCTTTTATTATCACACTATTTATAGCTTATGATGAATTTCCATTTGCTCATAATGGAGGCCTTTTTTTTTTGTGACTTGATATTGAAAATACAGCAGACATCTGTGAACCATTGTCCTCTGTCAAACAGACTGACTGTATTCACAAAACCTTTGCAAATTAATCCATTGAGTCGCCAAAAGGAATAAGCATGACGGGACTCGCAAACAAATCGCATCCCTTTGCAGAAAGAGAATTGGAACAGTTTGTACACGTGCAGTGATAAGACTGTCAACACAGCTGATGAACGGACTGAGGAAGGTCAAGGAAGTTCAGAAGAGAGCCAAGGGGAAGAAAGAAATCTTTTGACTTTGTTGAGTCAGTCGATTCCTAGGAGAAAGACATATAGAACAAGTATTGGAGATGAAACTCCAATACTTGGAGAAAAGTACAGGTTTTTCTATTATTGTAAGGAAATTCGCTTCAAAATGAACTTTTCTTCTGAACCGCATGAAAGGAAAGTAAAATATGATTTGTCATTTCAGATATGTTATTCCAGTATGAGGCTTGTCCAGGCTTTTCTTTAAGTGTGAGCGGCACAGCCTGGACAAATGTGGTCTTGTACTTTCTTCTTTTACTTTCACACTTTTCTAATTGAGTGTAAGTTTCCAACAAAGCCAGGTTTTTGTCTCTGGTTTAATTTTGTTTCTTTTCTGAAGACTTAACAGATTTTTCTCTCACTTATACTTTGCAGTATTGCTACCAAAAGTGAACGATTTGTTAACTGGATTTTAAAAGTCTTGGTACTCCTTAGTCGTTGTCTTTTGGGTTTTGTTTCTCTACCACCCTCTAACCTAAGTTGCTTTGTGTGCATTTTGTAATCTTAACATTAAAAACATCTAAAGCTTGTAATTTGATTGACGGCATAGGTAAATCTCTTTATTGAAATTTGATCTCTTGTTTTTCTATTATACAGCTAAAACCAGATATTTGCGTACACCGCATTATGTTTTTATTTTCTTAACTTTACTAACTAAACCAGTCTAAAACTGTCTTGCATCTGTTGTCAATAAACCCAAGCACTTTATTTCATCAGACGGTAAGACATGTCACAAAAAGAAAGAAAGAAAAAAGGTCTTTATACTTTTGGTGCATTTACAGATTATCTGGCTTCTTACGTTGCCTTCCGAGTTACGACATCATCTGCCTTTTGATTACGTTATTAAAATGTCAAAGTCCAGACAAATGACTGATCTACATGCCGTGACATGACCTAAAACAGACAGATTATGCTCATAAATCCTCCAATATGTCTGAATTAAAACAAATCTGCAAAGAAAAGTGGGGCAGATTTTCTCCACGGAGATGGGAGCCACTCGCTGCCAGTTGAGGCAGAAGACTGATGCCAGGTTAGTACCTGCTTATGCAGTGGAGCCTTTACTGTTCCATAAAGGCCAGATTGGATTTAGCCATTTGTTTTAATGAGCTCTAAAAAAATGTGACCAAAAACACAGAAGAAACTATTTAAGGGGACAGACATTCTTATCCATAGCTCTGTGTATCCCAACATAACTAACTGCCCAGTTCCTCATTTTGACCCTTCGTGACACACTTTTCTCCCTCCATTATGAATGCATATGATGCAGGTCTTCCATTTTCTAGTGTCTTAGGAACGCTGCACCCCTGTTGGAACTGAAACACTCCTCCTGACCTGCTAACTCCTGCAGCTGACTGCTTTTAATTCATTTCTTTATTTTTTCTGAATTTCTGATGCGTTCTCTCTGCAGACACGCTGGCCTGCTGCCGTTCGGCTCCGCAAATTCCCAGAAGATTGGATCTGTCATACACAGACTTAAACTTGATGTAGTGCATGTAAGCTCCGAATTGGTTCAGCGTGCAGCGCCCCGCAAGGTTACCGAGAGGAGGGAGGGGAGGGGAGGGGGAGAGGGACGGCTCAACGCCAGAGCGAGTAAGGCTACACTGAAAAGGTAATTGCTTCGTTCCTTCCTTTCGGCACCTCCTCCGGCTCCCTTCGCTCCTCCCATGCCTCCTGACTCTGCGTGCACGTCAAAAGATCTCCATCCGCAGTTGCATGTGCTTTCACATCACCCCCCCCCCCCCCACCCTCAGCCCGCCCCTCCCCACACACCCCAGCAGGGAACGAGAACAAGAATGAGAGAAACTGAGAGTGTGGCGGCTGCAGTCACTTTCCAAGGTAATCTGGGAGGATCGCTTCCCTTCCCTTCCCGTCTCGTCGCCCCGGCCCTGGTGTTTACGCGCATGCTGCCGTCTCTCCCCCCGAGCGGCTCCACAGACTTCCGTCACCACAACACGCAGCGAGGGCGGCTCGCTGGTCGCCTCACTCCCAGGAGCGAGGACTCAAGATGCAGCAGCATCAGCAGCAGCAACAAGAAGAAGTCATGTTTTCGTATTCCCCTTCAGGTAAGCAAATCTGTCATCTTTCCATTAAAAAAAAAAAAAAATGTTTTTCATATTTAAGCATCCTCTTATCCATTTTTCTGAAGTGTGACATTTTGTTTAATCTTCTATCTGAATCTGTGTGTTCATTTTTTCTCCCCCTTTCCTCACACACACACACACATACCTATGAGAGCATGTGGTCTGCAGGAGGTGATAATGCTTGTTGTTATTGTTGCGCCTCTCTCCATATGGTAGTGCTGAAAGTGGAGTAGCTGCTGTTACTACAACTGGCTGGTCCCTTAAAGCCCAGCTGTGAAACTCCATATGGATGAGGGGAGTAGTTGGTTCTCGTGACCTATTTAGGAACAATTTCTTTAAACTCAGATCTGCTGTAGTTTTGCCGCCGTAACGTAAAGCTTTAATTCCGAGATGAAGGCGATCATAAAACAAGATGCAGGTTGCCTCTCTCTGTAATCTCGGCTGAACAGTGAGGCAGATTGATTAATGGAAGTGCTCAGCCGCAATACGTGGATTTGCTTCGCTTTTGTTCTTGGTGAAGTACACGGTGCAAATCAATGGCTCTTCATCACCAAACAGACGGCGATGAAGATAATTTATACCCTTCCAACTTCTCCAGATATATCTGTTTTTGCACACTACAATTACACACGTGATTGATTTTTTTTTTCCTAGTCTAACAGCAGCACAAATCTTTCCATGACTGTAAAATACGAAAAAAACAACTATTTCTTTTTATATATTTACAGATTGAAAATTCCCGTTTCCCCTTTTACAGCTAAATAGTGACTTTTTGTGCGCTGCAGCTCAGTCAGTCTCATGCTTTTTTAAAGTTTTCCCTCAGATTCTGAATTTAATTTAAAATGTTACTTTAACTGGACCATTTTTATTTATTTTTTTTATTTTTCTTTCCACATTAACGTGCTGTTTTTGTAGGTAAGGCTGCACATTTAGGGTTACTGTCAGCCTGAATCTTCATCACTGATGAAACAAAACATCCCCAAAGCATGATGCAGCCACCACTGTGTTTCACTGTATTTTTAGGATGAGATGCACTTTTAGTTTTTCACCACACACACACACGCGCGCACACACAGCATTTTCAATTTGGGCTAAAAGTTCAAGCTCGTTATCGTCTGACCAGATCTCTTTTTTTTTCTATTTATTTCCTCCACATGCTTTGTGGTCGACAATGATGTGAAATTAAACTGTTATCTAGATTGTGGGTTCAACACACCAAAAAGAAATAGTCACGTTTTGCAGAAATGTAATCGGTTCAGAAGTACAAAACCGGACACAGATCTAAAAGCCGTGGGACATTGACTCCCAAAACTGAACTTTGAGGTTCCTGTGGTATAAATCCCTCTGGAGCTTCATCCCTGACCCGCCTGCTGAGCTGCTTGGTCTTTGTGACGTCACTGGTTCACCAATGTTCTCTGGTGAACCTCAGTAGCCTTGACAGATAGCTATATTATTACACAGTCATCCTGGGTAAAAATGTTTGTTGGAAAACTCCTAAGCTTCACTTTTCTCCTTACGATAAGATGCAACTCTGTGATGGTCGATTGCATAACGTTTGAATGAAATAATTCGATTTTATAAAGTCTAATTGAAGGCACATTAAATTGCCTTGATAGTTTAGAGTATCACAGTAAAATTGAGTTACACAATAGTGGGGAAAAAATAAAAATAAAAAAACCCGAACCCAGATGTATTGTTTCTGTTTAGATCCTCGGCCTCTCAGACCACTGTTAAACTGAAGGATACCTGGACCGGATTTAATGATGTAGCTGCCAGTTTTTCTCCACGGCTGACTGACTGACATGTCGGCGCGATTCCGACACGCCGCCCGTGTCCGGGAACTGTAATATGTAATGAGGCTGTATATCGTGGAGCTACTTCTGATGGGTGTTGAGGTATCCGACAGAAACGGCGTCGTTTTTAGGTAGAGCTATCGTGATATCACCCTAATAATAAAATAGATGCAAATTCTCATTAGAAATTTGACTGTAAAGGCAATAAACTGCCTTAAACTTACCCTTGGGTTGGATATTTAAACTCTTTTTTTATTTTTTTCCACTGAAGACGTTCACATGACATCCAAAGTGACGCTGTTGTTTAAAAACAGCCAAAAAACTTGATCATGCCACTCCTACAGTTTCAATTTTTTACGAGGTGGCAGAGAAAGTGCTTAATTTTTTCCTGACTTTTTGTTCCATAGAGATATATGCTGCCCCTCCACCACCTGTTGCTGTGAATATTCGGCCAGCTGGCTGAAACAAATACAAAAGAAACAACAATTAAAGGAATGGCATCTGTTGCTGATATGGTAAAGATGTCTTAAGCTGATTCCAGACAAATTAACTCCCTAATACCAGCTTATTATAGTTTATTATAATGAGTCAATCATAACTTTACAAATCACTGTTTTTTTTTTTGTTTTTTGTTTTTTTTGTATGTGTCCATATGAATAATTGCTGGTTTTAAACCATTGGGCCATGATGACTTATTTGCTTTAAATGATTTTTAGCACAATCATATTATTTTTACTTAATCTTATTATACATTTTACATTTCATACAAATCTTCCTAACCCAAAAAAAAGCTAGACTTTGCAGAAGTGACAAACAAGGTTTTTTTTTAAAAAAGAAACCCATCTTCCAATTTACTGACAAGTCTTTTTAATCTTGGATTTAAATGAGAAATTCTCACTGATAATGACGCTCAAGAAATGTAAACGCCCTGGTAGATTGGAAAAATGTATGGTAAATGTGCAATCTGTTGAAAACTGGCTGCAAAATATGACGGATTATCCCAAAACACATTTATATTTAGGGCCAATGAGAAATCATCCTAATGCTGAGCCCTGTGGAACTTCTTTGCTTAGTGAGAGATATTAGGAAAATGACACACTGGGTCAAATCAAGGGAAAAACAAAAAACAGCATCACTTGTTTGAAGTCTAAGTCATATTTTACGTAATTTGGTTTTTATGCCAGCGGTTACTGTGCTGTTTCTTTTCTTTTTCTTTCTTTTTTTTTTTTTTAAATATTGCCTTGCAAAGTTTTTGTTGTTCAGTAATTACCCTCTCGAGAACATCATTATTTTCCCTCTGTTTAGTCAGCCTTCATCACGTTCAGACACAGTCTTGCATGCAGAGTGTCTTTTTGTCCATTGGTTTTCACAGTTCAGTTGTTTTTCAGAGAACTTAACAAGTGGACATGTTGGATCAAAGCGTTCTCTCCAAACTCTCAACGTCTGTGAACTGAAATGATGATTCTAAATCCTATAAAGACTTAGTCACTTTTTTTTTTATTTCACCGTTTTCAGTATGATTGCATTTGTAATTTATAGAAGCAGTGGAAATCATTTTTTCTTTTCCAAAAATAAAAGTTGCTGTAAATGAATTCTTGTGCATAGTTTTTACTTTGGTCACGTTTAAATGACACAACAAGCGAAACGACTCGGATACTTAAAGACGTCAAAAAAACATTAGGTTTTAAAAATAAATTCTGCAAATGTTGTCTATGAGAAATGTTCTGGTCAACAGACTTGTACCGGCTTGTGAAAAACCTCAAAGCTTCCTTGAAGTTTCTGCTTCAGGTGAGCAAGGAGGCTAAAATCCATACTCTGTAGGAGTCTCACTGTGGGTGCGCACGCTTTAATGTGATGGGAAGTCGATATTAACCTCCAGATTTTCCAGAGCATTTTCAAATACAGTGAAAGTAACACCAGTAATATATAAAAAAAAGTTTATATGTAAGCCCTCAGTTTTCTTTCTTAAGAGTGCCAACTAGGGTTCACTCACCAAAGTGGGCATTAAACTGAAATATTTCAAATAAAATGTTGGACAAGCATCTCCACCGAACTCGGACTATTGACTTAAATCCATTTTGGCTTTTTACATCAAGTCAATACCAGATATAAGTGCTCTAGTCCAACCTGTTAAACCGGAGCTTATTATTGCATTGTTAGTCACAGCTATTGACGGAGGGATAAAATGCTAATATTGCCCAGTTATTGATCCGCTCAGTCAGAAGTTAAAGTAGGGAGAGGAGCATAATGGCACAGTTGTTGGTACATGCAAATAAAAATCCAAGTTAGGTGGGAGCACCTAGCTGCAATCTGATTGGATGGCCCAAATGGTGACAATATTGGTTTTATAACCTTTTGAGACACAATCAGGAATAACACGGAACAAACCTACATCAAAACAAATGAAAGATGTGTGTTACCATTTATTTAAGTAAGTAACATAACTTCATGACAGATAAATATGTAATGGTGGTATTTGCTGAATAATTCTACACTTTTTAGTGAGGAACATGAAGAAAAGCTAGCAAAGAAAAATAACTTCTTTCCCATGAGATGTAAATGTACCAATATGTTTTGTAGTTATTTGAGGGATACATTTTGTTAAATTTGTGTGGGATCACAATAATGAAAGCTAATATTAGTGTGGAAAAAATGGCCACAGAAAATGCAAAAATACTTCTATTGAAACAACAGATAAACAAAAATGAATAAAACAAAAACAACCTTACCTGCTCAGTGAAGTCAGTGTGAACGCACAAACAGTTTTACAAGTGGGCAGCATGCAGGAAACCGAGAGAGAAACACAAAGACGAGTTGAACCTGTGTGGGTGTGAAAAAGCTTAACACGACTGTAAGGGTTAGATTGGTTATTTTTTGAAATGAGGTTTTATTATTGCTAAGTTCACTTTACCAAGAGTAGAAATCTGTCATCGCACAGACGGTGGAAGCCATCAAGCTGTACACACTGTATCTGTTGAGTCTCAACAGCAGATTCAGTGAACCAGTTAACCATCCGGATAGTTTTTCAAACAACTTTGAGATCCGAAAAACAAAGGAACATGTCATCTTCAATGACTCTAACGTAAAATAAACATTTGCAAGATAAAACTTCACACTACACCAAACAGTGATGGCCTAAAACCTGAACAAACGTCTTCATGCCTTTGGGATGCAACAGCATCAAAGTCA